GCAAGGCTGGGTTCCGAATACAGTGCCACGTGCCCTATCATTGAGCTATACTCTTATCTGAAATGAAAACTAGAGCATTTAACCTTGAACTGGGTGTTAGATGGAGTTCAGGAATTATTGCTAATTCAGTTACATGAAATTATGTCATGGTGGTAAGAGCAAATAAGTCATTAGCTGTTAAAAGCCTCAAGGTATTTATGGGGTAAAATAACATTATAATTTCTCTAGCAAGGTATCCAGCATAAAATTAAATGAACAAAAATTAGAGTGAGTGTGAAAGATAAAAATGATTAGCAAAATATTTCTGAGTCTTGAGGCTGGAGTCAGGTGTATAGAAGATTCACCCTACTATTCTGTCCTTTGCTTATTTGAAATGCCTATAATAGTCATTTAAAGTCCATCTAGAAGTAGAAAAATGAACTGATAGTTCTTATTAACAGACTTTGATGTTTTCAAATGAATTATACTCCAGATGTTGCTATGTTTCCTGTCTGTCAAGTTGAGTTTCTGCGCAGTGTCATTCTAGGGTCAGGCCTGAAAAAAAGAAGAAAGGAAACAGTCAGAGCTGATGTTGACAAAAGCTTAAGAGGTTGGGCTAGAGCTTCTGTCTCCTACAGAATGGAAATGTTCTCTTTCCTTCTAAGGACATACAATTGGGCGAGACCATTAGCTAAATGGCTGGGTTAAATTCAGCCCGTAGGAAAATAAGACAGTCTAGATATCATCAAATAAATTCCAAAAGGCTTAATAATCTGAGAAGCAACAGCAAATCATAAGATGCAGACCTGAGAGGAAATCACATACAGTTAAATGGCTGGGAAAACACATTTACCTAAATGGTGATGCAATTTGGAATCATGTCTTAAGTATTGTACTATGAAATTTCAATTAGGAGCTAAGAGCTGTGAAATGGGCTATGATCGAGAACTTTGGCCAGCCACTAGATGTGCACTACAATTTTCTAAGAATGAGAAAGACAGGGAATTCCGGGTGAATGCTGGGATTCTGTGTGGTTTCAATTCTAAAGGCTTTGCACACAATCAGAGGTGTGCATGTTTTCTATGTGGGGGGTGAGTCTGGTGCACCTATTCGTGTATGTGGCACAAAAATACACAGGACACCGTGTGAAAGTCAGAGTAAATTAAGAAATGGAAAAGCTAGTAGAAGCTTGATACACTTTTCTTAACAGGATGTCATTATGGTCCCTTGCTATGGGCACATCATTTGAAACATGCAGTTGGAGTGCCAAGCTAAGGTGTCTTGGTAAAGAACGTTGCTTTACTGTCGATTGCAGCAATCCTAAAAGCAGCTGCTCCAGAATCCAGTATTTCTTTTACTCCACTCTGAGAGTGCTGGAGGGAAGACAGTGGTTTTCTCTCAAGAGCTTTTTCAGAGTTGGTGAATTTAGTTAAGATTATACAGCTGGTATGTAGCTGAGTGATAGACCCTGAATTTGAGCTCTGACTCTGCAATACACATGCAGAGAGAGATGGGTGTGTGTATATGTGTGTGAAAGAGAGATATTACAGATTTGTCTCTCTGCTTCAGGATCTAAAAATAAGATTGCAAGAAAGAACTCAATTCTGACAGTCCAAGATGAGACTGTTAAAATCATCTTGCTGCTGTGAAATCGGGAAGCCTGCTTCACAAATGCTGCCAAGACAGCTTTCCATCCAAGCACAGTGTTAAGTCCTCTCTCAGGGTCCATGGAGAAAACACATGGAGCCAGCATCACTTTTTTCTCAGGCTTTAGAGGGTGTTGCTAAAACAAAGATGATGAACACATTTCCGGTTTCATAAGGCATGAACATGGTATGCCGAGGTACCTAAGAATTTGGAAGGAGTCTTGAGTTATTAGAGTTCAGATCCAATCTGTGGATCTGTCATTCTGTGCCTGGATTGTGGAATGACTTAATACAAATGACTTCATCTCTCTTAGCTTAAGTTTTGCAATAGGAAGTTTATTAATTATTTTGTTAAGTGTCATGAACATTAAATTCAACATTATATTCAACATAATAGGTCCTGTCTAAAGGGATATCGAGTAAGAAGACAGCGATTGAAGAAGGAAAACCATCATGCCATGGACTCTGTGACAGCAGAAGCAAATCTGAAATGAAGCTAGGGGTATTTTCCAGGTGATGACCTCAGAGTCTGTTCCAGGGGAGCTGAAGCATGGAGGGAATCAGAGTGAGTGCAGTGGTTCTGCAGAAAGATGTCCAGATGGTCAGTAATAGCAGAGCAGTTTCTTGTGACTGTCATGGATCTGTATGGCCATAAACAGACAAAACTTCATTGATCTTCAACTTCCTCAGAGGTTTACAATCCCTTACTAGCACACTGGCAAGGCTCAAGAAGGAAATGAAAAAGTACGCTGGAAAGAGTCCCTTTATCTGACCCCTGTGCTCATATTGCATGTTACTTCTCCACCAACAGTCACCCTTCCTGAGGGGTTGGTATTGTTTTGTTTTCTATTTGTGTTTATTCATCTATAAGCCAAATAGTCTTTGCTTTTTCTTCTCTTCTTATTGAAGCAGAATGCTTTTATGGAACATTACTGCACTTCAGCTTGCTTTGTTCACTTGACATTTTGTGAGGCTATTGTAAAGGCAATTGCCAAAGACAGTTTCAGGCCCTCCTCTACAGGCAGTTAGTTAATTACAAACTTATCTAAAAGTGTTTATCATAGTCTGACTTCATGTTACAGAGCTTCAGGAGGAATTGCATCATGGTGCTCTTCAGCGTGGCTGCCTGTTTGCTGTGGGACATGTCACAAACTTGTCTCTAGATTTCTATCATTTATTCCTTGTCCCTCCCCAGTGCTTCAGCCCATTTTTTAGTCATTCTCCACACGACAGTGCGCGCGCGTGTGTGTGTGTGTGTGTGTGTGTGTGTGTGTGTGTGTGTGAGAGAGAGAGAGAGAGAGAGAGAGAGAGAGAGAAATGCTGGCCATTCCTAAGACAGTACCTTCTCTGAAAGAACAGCTTAGCCATGATTCACTTCAGAACCTTACTGGTATATGCACAATGCTAGGTGCTCTAGTTGGAATGTGAAAGAATAACCTCTTTTAGCTTTCCCAGCAATTAGAGCCGAATTGCCACAATGGGTTGGGAGGAGTGTCTGGATGCTCATATGAAGGTCTCGAGACACTCCCGATTCCCCCTTTAATGAAGGATGGTCAACAGTCAACAAGCCCAGCTGTAATGATCTTTTGAAAACTGGCACAGCTAAACATGGAGTCTGTTTGGCTCAGAGAACAAAGGATTACCCAAGCATAAGCACTTCAGAACCACAACATTGATCTGATTACCAATACAGTTACTAAGTGACTAACAGGCAGGCAGGTAGCATATACAGTGTGTATATACTGGGAAAAGGGATGATTCATGTCCTAGGCAGTGTGATAGTCTATCATGTTGCTCAAAATAACACGTAATTTAAAATTTGGGAGTTCTTTATTTTTGGAATTTTCCATTTAATATTTTTAGGTCACATCTGGCTACAGAAAGAGAAGCCATGAACAAGGGGACACTGCCGTATACTTTGAATTTTTTCAGGTCTTCTCAAACAGAATTTCTACTCATAGTGCATAGACCAAGGCAGAATTTAGGTAGTGGTTATTGAGACTTTTGCCAATGCACGTAGCCCTGACTTAGACTGAGGTTCCTATCCGTCTTGACTCTACACAGACGATGACAGTGGGAATCAAGTTCTATACTTTTTAATCCATGACACTGAGCTGGGAAATGCCCTGCAGGGATAAATCTCAATGTCATTTTGGCTTCTGGGAACTGTGTCTCACTCAGAACTAGTTAATGATGGATAAACAGCAAGGTCTTTGAATTCTATCCCTCTCAACCCTTACAGAGTGTAGCATAACATAAAATGTGTGGTGATGGAAAGACCAAAAAACCATTCCATAACCTCCATAACAAATTGAGGCCCAATTAAAAAGATTTAGTGAAGGGCCCCAGGTGTTTGACTATATCTGAATTCTGAAATATCTTTAGCTCTTATGTGGACATCTTTATAGTCAGAGTTCAGGCTTATCTTCCATTATTCCTGAGTTCATACAGTTATGTTTTTATTATCTGTAGTAAAAGCTTCTATATTATAAACCTGACGTCATTTAATACATTACCAAAATCAATGTCTGTTGTTGGACTTGAACCATACTTTTAGAAAGAGCATTATGACACACACACAATATTGGGTTGATCCTGTGTCCCCTGCTGGGTCTAGCTGAGATTTATGAGCTGGATGCTCAGGAAATACTTTTGGCATGATGAATAAAGGGGTGAATGGTGAGTGAGTGTGTATCTCTGCCAGTCAGCATGGATACAGGTTAGAGAGAAAGATAGGTATTCTTTGTTTTTCTTGAACTTGAAACCAGTCAAAGGGAAATGCTGCACCCAGATTCCCTCCAACTATGGCTTGCAGTATTTTGGCTGTGTCTGACACAGCTTAGTCTGTTTGATAGAAACAGACTAAGACAATGTTATTCTTATATCTAAGAAGAAGCAATTCTTTCCTTTGCTACCATTAGGTTTTATAAAACAAACAGCATTCCTTATTGAAGATGGGTTGTGGTATTCAGATGTTTTGGGAGATTGATTTGTTTTCATAAAGTAGAAGTCATACCAAGGAAAGAAATATCTAACTGAAGGTAAATGCTAAGGATCACTAAAGCTGCTTTTGCAGTTTTGAAACAAATGTGCAGGCACACAGGTCATGGACATATCTCTAGTCTTGAAAAACCATTAGGAAACATTGCTTATGGCAACCACAAGACCCTGCTCTTTCAGAAGTAGACCTTTTATGACATGTTGCCATGGGGACTGAAGCTCTGTTATCCAAACACACCATTATCTTTAGGAGGAGCTGATGGACAGAAGCTGCAGAGGGAAAAGCAGAAGCTCCTTCCTTGGCGTTCTTTCTTTTCTCAAACTCAGATCTGATTTAATCCTAGGGAGGACTGATAGCACATTAAATGGACACATCTCTGGAACTACTAAATTCTAGTCGACTGTAATTTTTATTCAGTTTTTAAAATTTGAGGTCTTTGTCTCCAAATTTCTAAATCTAGTTTTGACAATTTCATGGTGGGTTTGTGGAATAATGAAAGGCTATTTAGGAAGGCAAACTACGGCTTTCTTGGAGGGTACAAGAGAAGGCTCTAAGTGAGCAGGAAACACTGAGTTTGTTCAATCCATGTTTGTATGCACCACGTTGTCACTCAAAATCTTCCCTGTAGGAGGTCTGAATTCTGGCTTTAAATTGAGAAGGAAGGAAAGTACCCTCTTTTAAAACTACATGGTTGTGCCTAATCTGGATAGAAATTTTAAGCCACCTACTTGTTATATCAACAGTTGATGCTTTCTTAGTAAGTAATGATAGTGAGGAGCAGAGAAGTTGTTCACCAGAGCATAGCTAAGTGCTTTACACATGTGATGCCTCACTTCATCCTTGTAATTCCCCTAACACCCCTAGAGGACTCTCTGATAGATGTCTCTCAGCAACACATACTTGAGTTGATGAAGTTGAGAAAACTTGCTAGACGTCATACAGAAAGACTAATCTGTTTGCTGAAGCTGATATTTCTCCCTGAGACATAGCACCTCCTCTCTTCAAAACATCTTCCTGCAGATATTACGTAAGATTGCAAAGCATAGGTAAAGTATTCAAGGACTTTGAACCCCAAGCGGTCTCTCCATCAACCAGAATGCTTCTGTGGTTTCTCAGGTAGGATGGGAACTTTCTTCGTTGTTGGAGTGTGTGGTAGTTACTCCTCTCTTCGCTGAGACCAAATATTTGATAAGAAGCAATTTTAGGTATGGCGTCAGGGGAAGGATTATTTTGGCTCATGGTTTGTGTGGATGTAGTTCATCACATATAAATACTACCAGACAATGGCAGGTAGCCCCATAGGGACAGTAACATGTAACAGAACAGGAAGCCAAGAGAGGCCCTGAAGTGAGGCTGTGCTATGAACCTCTAGGCAGTCCCACCCCTAGCAACCTACTTCCTTCTCTTAGGCTCTACCTCCCAAAGTTTCCATTCACAGTCTCTTAAAACAGCACCTCCAGCTAGGGACCAAGCATTCACACACAAGAGCCTGTGCGAGCCATTTCAGACTTTTCCCATAACAAGACACCACACAAGACAAGTATAAACTGAAATCTGCTTTGAGTTTTGATGTCCATGTTATTAAAAAACCAGGAAGGATTATCAGGCAATATTAAAATATGGTGAAAATTCCCAGCACACAGCTGCCAGAAGAGATGTTGTCGGTATAGAGGACTCAATGCTTTTGTTCCCAGTTTCTAGGATTAAAGACCCCTGTCTTTAGCAACTGATAGAAAGTCAGACACATGTAGCCAGGTTGGAAGCATGAATTCAAGAAGCCACCAGTCATCTTAACTCTGTTTCTACTGGATCTTAGAATCCCATCTATTAGTTGTACTTGAGTCAGCGGGCAGTGTGCAGGTACCACCAAGTCACTGACTTCTTGGACAGCTTAGCCAGATGCAGACAGAAACTAGTGGTGGAGAGCCTCTGTGAAACTGTGTTTCCAGACTTTCTGAAATACTGATTTACCGGCTCAGCCATAAATCCCTACCTATGTATTTTATCTGCATTTGATGTTTTCTCAACCAAATCGAAAGGTCCTCCAGAAAAGCCCTCTCTTCTGCCAACCCTGCCAGGCCTAGCCAGGTCCCGAGCATGCTGTGGTTCTCTGCCTTCCTTTTGACTGCAGAATTCCCACAATGGCTTGTATGTTTAAGTGACCTCAAAGAAACCCAGAGAGAAATGTGCTCCCTCCACTCAGGAGCGTGATGTGCAAGGTGTGAGCATTTAGTAGAGATGTGCTACTTGTGTTTGTGGAAAGAAAGAGACATCTATTGACATAATCACCAAAGCCTGACATTTGAAGCTGTAAGTGGCTTCCCAAATTATTTAGACAAACTATATAATTTTGAAAGTATGTTACTAGAGACAGAAAACTAAGATGACATGCCTATGTTTGTCTATAGCTAGCTCATGCATGAGTACATCACAGGTACAGCCTGCTTAACCATAGGGACACATCATGAGGAAATGTAATTTTCTTTAAAATTTTTCTTTGTGTATTTCACAC